GATCCTATCGCACGCAAAATTGAGTTATCACGTATAGTAGGACGTAAGTTGTGGGTCAAGTGTTTGGTACTGCGGTTAGTCCATCATGGTGGTCTTACATGTGGCTAAACGAGGGTATTGCTACGTTGTTCGGCGTGTAACATAATCAATCAGGTATTTCCTCATGTCTGTGATACTTTGAAAGAAAACTGAACATAAGTTCTATTTGAAATCATACGAAAAAAGAAAGCATATTTCGATCATTTTTTAATGATATTTAAGTTAATCGTAAAGAATTTTGTCGCATTCATGTGAAATCGTTTATAAAATTTTTAATAATTTAATTTTATTGTTAATGGTTATTAGTTTAATATAAATAAACTGATAATTAAATTATTGTTTATTGTACTTGTTGATTGCATTTGTAATATCTAGACTATGCCAGATACTCGGATGTTGGATTTGTTCGTAGTCCAAACTCAACAAGAGTCTCTCCGTCTAGATGATTCACAAATTATGAAACCTCTTGATTCAGAAGTTAACAGTATCTCTGAAATTAATTCTCTCTTCTCTTTCACTTATTACATAAAAGGTATACAGTACTAAATGAATAAAGTTAAAACAATTAAAACATGTAAAATTATTTAAGAAGTATATCAAAAATAATAAATTTACTTCAATTTATATATTCTTTTATTTATTAAAATAAGTAAAGACATATTCTAAAACAAATATACCCTAAAAACATCAAAATTTTTATTTAATTATAATCTTATCATATTTCTGAGAACTTAGATAAATATAATGTAGGTATAATTTCTTACATGTTTAATCTTATAACGCTATTTGTTGTAGCACCTTCTATATTGCGTATGCTACACCATACAGTGGGTGATGAAATTTTTCAAAACGGAATTAAAGCGTATATGAAAAGAAGGTAAGTATTTTCATGTCTTGTATCTTTCATCTCCTTTTTGTCAAATGAATAATTTTTTATTTTAATTTCTTCGATATATGATGTAAGGTTATATGTAAATAACAATTTACTTATATTCTTTGCTATTTTTGCGATGTACAACAACTATGTTACTACATATAACATTTTTCTTGTCAAATACTTTCTTACTTCACGAAATAAGAAAAAATTTTAATGTGTTAACATAAAAAGAAGATTGTATTAAAAAATTTGCTATTTAGAATTAAAAACTAATTAACAATAAAATTTAATGTAATTCTTTTTCGAATATATCATTACATATTATTTTTGTTTGTAGATGATAGGGATAAAAATTGAAAACATTTTTATTATAAAATTTATCTATTTATTATTTATTATCCTAATTGAAATTCAATCCGTGCAATCGATGTTGAAACTTTACAACTTATATTGCAATTTTGCGCAAATAAAATCACGGGCATCTGCCCCGCGAGAACTAAACTGAGCGAACGATGCAAATTATGCGAGTTTTTCGATAATTATAAAATTGCTGTAAATTTGTGTTTATGCTATATATCGAGAAAATCATGTTTGTTTGCTGATATTATCTTTATCATATACATCGTTAATAGAATTAATTTTTCTACATTTTTGTAAGAACGGGAAGTCTGGACGATTTTTGGACTATAATGCAATCTATCTATGATTCACAAACTATGGATTTGGAGAAAATTAGCGTGAAAGACCTGATGAATCCTTGGATACAAGAAAAGCAATATCCCATTCTTAATGTAACGCAAACTTATGGTACCGAATGGACAAAAATTGTTCTAGAAACTACCTCGAAAAACTGGACGGTGCCATTAATAAATCAAGTGTATATAAATTTAAAACGAATTTTACCCAAATTTTGTTTAGCCCGTGAACAAAAGCACTTTCTTGCAAAATGTTACAACTCTGAACACAGTCAATTCATAATAATCAATCGGCAACAAACAGGTAAATCAAATCTTTATCGATCAAATATTTAAATGTGGAATATTATAAATTCATTCATCTTACATTATGAAGACTTGTTAATTATGGAAAAAAAGAAGTTTTTGACTTATTTTTGTAACTGAGATCTTAGATAGGATATATGACTTTAAAATTATATATCAAGGATAAGTTAGAATTGCCTGTATGTTCCTTTTAGTGATTTTAATCTATATATCTATAATTATTCTTTTCTTAAACGAATAACAGTTAACGTATTTAGTTTAATAATTATATTTATTTATTATGTATGATGAAATTCTTTGATATTATTCCTTTCTGACATGCAATATTTATTTAACAAGGGTAAGTTTCATAAAAATTTATTATATCGTTGTAAAAAAGTTGTCAACCGAATGATCCGCAACATTTTCGACGTAAAATTCGAAATTATATCACTTTGTAAATACCAATTTTTTATTATTTATAATACAAGCAATTCTATCTCTAATTAATATCAATTACATTATAATTTAATACACTTTAATGGCAAATAATATTTATTTATCATATGATAGGATACTACCGTGTATTTTATAATTTGGAAAGTTGGTTAAAAATCGTACATTATCTAAATTCTGAGAATTGTACAAATATTAATGTCTTAAATCGTGCTCAAATCATCGACGATACGTTCCATTTAACAATATCAGGCGAATTAGATTTTTCTGTATTTTGGGATGTCGTAAGCTATCTAAAGTGGGAAACGGACTATATACCATGGTATTCTATGTTCAAAGCTGCTGAATACATGTCATACATTTTACCGTTTCATAGTACCGATAGTGCAATATTCAAGGTAAAAGCGATTTTAGTAAAGAAAATTTTAACAACTTATGTTGTTATGTTCAAAATATTAATATTTTACTTTTAATAATTTTCTAAATCTTTCTCTAAAAGATATGATGTAACTAATTTAGAAAAATAAAAATTTTTTTATGAGTCTACAAGATTTAGCTTGAAATTTCTTAAATAATTAACGTTATCTTTACGTTACTTTATAATATTCAGAAGAAACTACTAATGCAATTGGGTCCGCTTCTTCAAAAGATTGGGTATGAAGAAAGACCTAACGACGACAGTTTTATTAAATGTTTAAGACAAGAAGCTCTAAGATGGGCATGTGTTCTTGGTGATGGCGAATGCAAAAAACATGCTGAATTTAAATTGCAATGGCATTTGTTAAATACGAAGTAATTATTAATTCTTCTATTGTAATAGTTTTACTATATTTGCAACACACGTCATTTTAAATAAAAATATGTAAAACTATAAATTATATTAATTTTATGATAAAATGTTTCAGAGAAAATAAACTATTACCATGGTGGAGTGAATGGACGTTCTGTAATGGTTTATCTGTATCTAGTATTTCTCTTGACCAACTATTTAAAGATTGGGATGAAATGTTGAAAATTAAAAATCTAAATGTGTTTGAAGTTGTCGCTTGCTATCATGATATTTCTCGTCTCGTGTCTTTGCTAAAAACGTTCAAAAATGATCACATATCTGCTTATACAGAAGATAATGCAAGGGCAATCACTATTACTAAATACAATATTGATCTGTTTTATTATGTTATTCAGAGACATGCAAATGATGCTTTATTCAATCACATTTTATTAAATAATTTGAAAAAAATCAAGCCTAAGTAATAATACGTTTTCACAAATTCTAAATTTTAAATGCAAATTTTTTATTTGCATACAATCAAAACTTTATTACATTATTTTATTTTATTATATTATATTATTTACATTATATGCAATTTCTTTTCTAGAGAGATTAGTACAACCGCAGCATTAATTAGTATTATAAATTATACTTATTCTAGTAAATTACTCTGTGAGGTAAGTTTTATTAAGCACAATAACTCTTGTTCTTTTCATGTATTTTAATTAAATTACAACTTTTTATTATATTTTATATGTCATAATGTTACAAAAATTTTACTTTAATGTTGTTGAGTAAGAAGTTAGATGATTAACATATAAATGTAACATAAAAAGAAGTAATATTTTATTTCTATTTATTTCATGAAAGTCGGTAAAATTACTAATTTTTAATATGTATGTTTGTGTATTAATTTCATTACAAACAACATACAAATTTAAAAAATTATTTTATTTACAAAGAAACAATAATGTCAGTATTTCCTTAAACTTGACCTTCGTGTGTGATATAAAGAATTCTTTTTAGACTTCCTGACACAAATTTGTATGCCAGTAGCATTGTCAAAACAGAATAAAAGGTCCTGTATATTTCAATACAGGACTTACCAATTGCTAGTAAACAATTAATTAAAAATTCGTGAATAAACACATGCCTACGACATATAGCTTTCATTATTGCTAAAAGCAATGCAAAATGTTTGGATGCGAATAAGCGAATAGTGCATTATTTGTAGATCATACTCCTAAACATCTCATCGCATACCTAACAATCGTAAATGCGCGTAATATTGAATTACCTCTCCAAAATTCGCTCCTTTTATCAATTAATCTTTTATTAATTGCAAAACTTGCAAGGCGGTAAAGATCCTTTTATTTCTTATCAGTAAAACCGGTTTTATCTACACATAAGCTCCCTGTCAATAATTATTAGATAGCCTGTAGAAAAGAATCTAAACGAATACATGTATAAAACACAAATAATGTTACAACATTATTATATAATGTTTCATATTATTAAAATTTTTCTTTCTAAAATTAATGATTTTGCACAATTTATGCATATTTAACATGACGATGTTAATTTTGCAGATACAGAAAGGGATACATCAGAATCTTACTAATTCATTACTTCAGAAAATTCAACACAAAATAAAAATGCGCTTCAAGAAACACTACATAGGTAGTATAGAATATTGTTAGAGAAAATCAGAATACAATCTAGGATTTGTCATTTTGTGATTAAAATAGATACACATCGATATTCATACCTTTCTTGCTTTCCATTTTGTAGATATCTCTTTGTAACATTCAACAATCAATCTCAAAGAAAAAAAACAGACTAATATCATTAGAAACTTTTGACATTTATGTTAGCATTACTTTAAAATATATTATTAATATTATTATAAATTATTCTTACACGTAGTTAATTTTATAATGATTGTTAAAAATATGTACTATGATGCGTAAACAACTTCTGCACATATATTAAATGTATGTATATAATAAACGTTAAATACTAATGATTTTACATTAGTCTTATATGTGACTACTTGATTAGTCTTATATTTCGAAATTGATTGTACTTTACGAAAAGAACTTTAAAATAACTAACGAGGATAGGCATGAATATTGATAATTAGTTCAGAACTTCAAATTATAAATGGCATTGTAATCCTTAATATTTGAAATTCTATGAATACATTTAACAA